TCTGTGACAAGTAGACCGAAACGATTCTGCATCTGCTACTATTACTCCACACATCAACCGCTGTCCAGCATGCATCTAGAGTGTTAAGTTCATAAGAACAGAGTAACACATTAGGCAAGATGACATGATGTAGAGGGATAAACTCAAGCAATATGATATAAACCCCATCATTTTATCCTCGATGGCAACAATACAATATGTGCCTTGCTGCCCCTGCTATCATTGAGAAAGGACACCGCAAGATTGAACCCAAAGCTAAGCACTTCTCCCATCGCAAGAAAGATTAATCTAGTAGGCCAAATCAAACTGATAATTCGAAGATACTTGCAAAGATATTAAATCATGCATAAAAGAATTTAGAGAAGAATCATATATTGTTCATAGATAATCTTGATCATAAACCCACAATTCATCGGATCTCGACAAACACACCGCAAAAAAAATTACATCGAATAAATCTCCAAGAGAATCCAGAAGAACTTTGTATTGAGATCCAAAAAGAGAGAAGAAGTCATCTAGCTAATAACTATGGACCCGAAGGTATGTGGTAAACTACTCACACATCATCAGAGAGGCTATGGTATTGATGTAGAAGCCCTCCGTGATTGATTCCCCCTCCGATGGAGCACCGGAAAAGGCCCCAAGATGGGATCTCACGGGAATAGAAGGTTGCGGCGGTGGAAATAGGGTTTCGTGGTGCTCTTGGATGTTTTCGGGGTATATATATATATATATATATATATATATATATATATATAGGTGAAAGAAGTAGGTCGGTGGAGCCACGAGGGTGGGGGGCGCGCCTACCCCCCTGGGCACGCCCTCCTACCTCGTGGCCGCCTCGTTGCTTCCTTGACGTCCACTCCAAGTCTCCTGGATTGTGTTTGTTCAAAAAATAACTCTCCCGAATGTTTCATTCCGTTTGGTATTCCTTTTCTGCGGAACACCGAAATAGGCAAAGAAACAACAATTTGCAATGGGTCTTTGGTTAGTAAGTTAGTCCCAAAAATAATATAAAAGTGCATAACAAAGCCCATTAAACATCCAAAACAGATAATATAATAGCACGGAACAATTAAAAAATATGGATACGTTGGAGATGTATCACCTACATCATGCAAATTTTGGAGCACTGAACTTTATCAAAGATGACAATAAATGGGGCCCTACGAATTGGCTACTTAGTTATATTCCGACCATGAGAGATTCTGAACTTTTAGTATGCCCACAAAAATAAGTAGGCACACCCTGGAACCAGGAGGACCATCAGGTTTGTAATAGTGGAAGTTAAAGAAAAAGGCTCATAATTAAGAATAAGTAATCTTACATTTATATCATAAAGCAATAGATGGATTAATATTCCCTACAAAATGGATGAATCACGTGACAACATGACATGGGCAAAAAAGATAGATGTATCACCTAGCACAGTGGGGCAAGAATTCAGTCTACTTGTGCCTTCTACATTTATTTTCATCGTATATGAATATAAAATTGGAAGATAAAATACTACCATGACAAACTACACAAACAATTCCTCCCGGGACTGCAGGAGTACAAAGTTATCAAGCATATGAGTAGAAATAGAAACAAAGATGGTTATAGAGTTGATGGCACCTGGATTGGCGTTGGCCTCGTGGCAAAGGAGAACACCTTCAGTGTCACAGTTGTCTACAATATCTCATAAAGAAATGCCACACGTTGCCTTCAGTAGAACAACAACATTACCTGGAGATGTTACACCATTTCAAAGAAAATAACAGAAAGGTTAGAGCACCATCTTCACTGCTCGTTGGGAAATTATTTGGCCTTTCCAGCAAACACATTCAGAAAAGCTTGAACAGTCCCATGAGTCTGCATTGATGGAATTTTTTTATTTAAAAAAATCATACATTAGATAGAAATTAGCAACAAAAGTCAGTGAATCGATATATTGAACCCTTTATAGCTAGTGATGCAAAAATAGAGAACCATACATAACCAATTAATCCACTACTTTCTTGCCAGTATTTCAAATGAAATTTTCGATCTACCCAAAGTCCCTAGCCAACTTCAGGACAAATAGAAAACTCTACAGGTTTAAAGGAAAGAGAAAGCTCTGCAACATCCAGGAAATAATCACATTGGTATGCATCTGTAGGTATAACTATGATAATGCACGTGTGCTTTTGGACCAACAATGCAAGAGAGAATGCCAGAGTAACTGTTTATGACCCGACCAACATGACCACTATTTAAAATGGGCAGTGTAGCCGGGACACCGGAGGTCGTCTGACAGTCGGCGACGTCGTCGCATCTGGGGCAGCAGGGGGATGCGGAGGTCGTCCTTGAGGAAGCGGAGTCATCGTACTTGGGGATGGCCGGGCCACCGCCCACCGCTGTTGGGTGCATGTAGGCTGCAAGGGCAACAACGCAGTCTCGATGCATGTGCTGCTCATCTCTCGGCGGAGCTGACCTCCGCACTGGGATACATGGGGACGGCAAGCTGCGCGCCTGTAGCAGCGGCGGTGGTCCTGCACCAGAGCTCGCTAGGGCAGCCTTTGCTCACCGGTGGAAGTTGTGGCGTGTGTGGATTTGTGAAACGAAGAGCCCTGTTTATATTGACTCTTAGATTGACCATCAGTTACTGAAGCCTGAAGGTCAGGTGGAAGTGGAAACAATCGCTAGCTTCCCTGCTTTGTTGACGGTCAGGTACTATGTATTGAGAAATAAATGGTTATATTTTTTCTTGATTCTTTTTTTAAAAAGCTGAGGTGGAAAATCTTGTTGAGATGACATGGTTGATGATGTGGATAGGTTGCATGTTTAGATAAATAAGTTAGTGGGGATGAATCTCTTAGGTATATATGATAGGTTAATCCCAATAATCATATAAAATAGCATATTAATGCATATAAACATTCAAAATAGATAATATAATAGCATAGAACAATAAAAAATTATAAATACGTAGGAGACATATCACAAGTCACGTACCACAGGAATTCGTGCCTAATCTGGACGGGAACAATACCCCACAAGCTAAGTCTGAACAACTGCCTGTGAAGCAAAGTCTTCAGCGCATCCAAGACCCCGCCTTCGCTATTTGCATGCCCACCAATCACACCATGGCATTCTCCGCATGTGTTGAACCTTTGGGAATCATGGTGCAAACATGTCCCAAGGTGTCAACAAAAACAGAGCTTCGTGGCACCCCGATGAAGCTGGCTATGCTGATGTTACGGGTGCACACGACCGGCCCCTATCCAATAAGGTTTTCAAAGAGCGCCATATATGCTAGTCCTTGTTTTCTTTCGAAGAAGAAATCTGAAACTCGTCGATGTCTAGATCAAAGAAGACTACTTTCACGACCACCCATCCCCAAGCCATTGAGTAGCCGGCGTATCACACCGTGTCCTGGTGTCTTGTGCTTGGCATCAGCGAAGGCAACGATCGGGAGCGGCTGGAACTTATCCTCCCAAAGTATATCATAAGTGTGTGGTAGCATATGTAATGGTTCTTGAACCGTCCACATTCCTTATTTCCTTTGTGACTCGGCCAATCGCTAGTTCTTGACATGTTACTTGGTTCATGAAGATTATTGACTCATGTTACTTGGTACCAGTGGCGGATCTAGGGTGGGTTCATGGGACCATGGGCCCACAAACAATTTACAAGTTTTATTTTAACTAGTGCACTATTTGTCCATCATACTAATTTTGATGTAGTGTAGAATATTTTTTCCCTAGCCATTGGAGTGTTGTCCATGGTTACCCCCACATTATCAAATCTTAGATACGTCACTAGTTGGTACCGGGGTCTACTATGCACGTTGCACTAGTTTTCTTCATTTTAATTCTTGGGTCGATGCATAGCTAATGGTTTTGTTGGTCGATTGTTTATGGATCTATAAGTGTTTTTGTATGAGTTGATTGATATTTCAAGAACGGAGTTATTTATCGGAATAAGAACAGAGAGATCGGTAGTCATTAGCTGCTCAATCCTGCTACACAGTCATATTTGCAACTGACCCATTTCTAAAATTGCTACTCCCTCCATCTCATAATATAAGAGCGTTTTTGACACCACACACTGGTGCTCACATTTATTTCCAGATTTATTTCAGGATTTTCGGCGATGCGCATTCAGTGGGAGGAGACGTTCCTGTCGACGACGAGGTGCCTACGGTGACTTCGTAAATTTCAAGATGATATGCCGGCTCAGTCTTTCGGAGGTGTTCATAGGGATAGAGTGTGCGTGTGTGCGTTCATAGGGGTGAATGTATGCGCGTGTATATGAGCGCTTGCGTCTGTACTGATATTAAAAAAACGCTTTTATATTATGGGACGAAGGGAGTAAGGTGTTAAAAACGCTCTTATATTAGAGGACGGAGGGAGTACTTGCTAGTGCTAGTAAGAGAAATTGAACTAGTATATATAGTAGGATAAATAAAGTAGTGGTAGAGTGGCATGCTAAAGATGGACACCATGTTCTGAGCACAGATGAGATCAAGTCATCAGCCATGGCCAAAATATTCCTTTTGGGCACGACGATCCAAACATATTTGGCTGCCTGGTTCGGCCCGTTGGCCTCGTGCCTCGCCAGTCCCGACCCCCACCACACCACCCGCCTGCGCTATTCCTGCTTGCGCTCGCGTCTCCCCTCGTGTCCTCCTCCCACCCCCTCCCCTCCACCGCCCGCGACGGGAAGTCCTCGGCGAGCCGCGCCAGATCTGCCGGAGCAGCGGGCCCGCATCTGCCACCCGCATCGCCCCCCGTCTCGCCTCGGGCTCCCCGCCACCGGATGGAGGGAGGGAGACTGTGAGATCGACCGCGCGCGCCCCCGATCGGACCGGACCCCGCCGAGGAGCCGCGAGCGGGCGAGCGAGCGAGCTCGATCCGACCGCGGGAGCGCCGCGCCCACCAGATCGGGGTCAGCAGCCGAGGGATCCGAGCCGGGGAGGAGACAGGCGGTGATTGGTCGGTATCTGTTTCTTCTTCCCGCGCGCGCGCGGACCCTCCATGGAATCGGCGCGTGCCGGATCGGAGAGGGCCGGTGAGTGCTTTGCGTTTGCTGCGATTGTTATTGTATCGTGTGCTCGGCGGCCTGTGAGATTTGGTTGGATCCTGTAGTTTGTTTGAGGCTCGGCCTGCTGATCTAGGCTGATGCGGTGCTGTTGCAATTGCTAGTGGTCGCTGCTGCGTGGCTTATGATATTACAGCGATTACCTTCGTTAGGGGATGCCTGCTGATCTAGGATGCTGTGGTGTTGATGCAATTGCTAGAGATGCTTGGTTTAGGATGTCACAATGATCCGACAGATCTTCGCTGCTAAATGAGTTGATGCGCGAGATCTCGGCCTGAGTTGTCGCTTTGTTACATACTTACATACGAATTGGTTCTTGCGTAATCATGCCATAGCTCTTGTTAGCACTTGGACTCAGGGACATTAGTTGTCAGCAGTTGGACTCGATGAACAACCAAGGCGTCAAGGATTCACCCGAACTCCAACCTTGCACATTTGTGTGCTGGCGTTGACTATTCTGGTTCGCGTGTATGCGTAGCAATAAGCACTTGATTGGTTGGGTACTATGCTGCTATCATATGTAAATCGTGTCACATGTTCATGGTTTGTGTTCTAGTCTGCACTTAATTAGGGTGGGCCAGGCATGATTTCATCCACTTGAATGAGATGCATAGTTATGATCATGTACATATCTTGTGAATAGTTGGTGCAGGCTGGACTAGAGCTGGGGTTAATGGTAGGATGTCTGTGTCATAGCAGAAACCTGGTGATCCAGTGTGAGGCCCAGTTGTCTGGGGAGGCCTCAATTACGATATAATGCTGTTTGACCAAACAAAAATAGAACGGCAGTGAATGATGAACTTGACAGCCTTTATTATGCATGATTGTTGCTATTAGCCTCATGATAAATCAGGCTACAATAAGTGTGCGAATTAGGAACTAAGTACACCAAGTTGGAGTGCTGTGTCCCCATAACCACTGTGTTTATATTCATCTGTGGTGCATGTGACTCATTGATTGACAGGATTCTATGATAATTGGATGCAACTATGCTGTGAGGCAGCTATCTTTATTTGCAACCTTGAGCTATTTATGCAAGCTTAGCTTCACTTTAGCCTAGTTTTGTTGTGATTGAGCCTTTTGTTTAAAATGGCAGGGCCAGTAAAAGGCACGAACAAAACATTAGCCGTCAATTGATCTTCCATAATATTTTCGGCACTCTACAAAGTGCAACACTATTTTACAGTGTTATCTTTTATGCTACATAGGATATCACTAATTTACCATTCTTGAGACTTAAGCTAATTCATTGAATCTTCCTGCTTTAGGCACTATGGATTCGCCGGAGCCAAGAATCGAGGTCGAACAGAAACCTGTTCTTGCTAGTAACACTAAAGAGCAGGTCATTATTTGATTTATTTTAAATATATTTTATACAAAATTTTCACCTTTTTTCTGATTGTTGCAATACCTTCTTCTACCTCAGACCATTCCTGGGAAGGATGAGAAAACTGTTAAACCCACTATGTCACTTGATTCAAGTGTTATCAATCTACCAAGTGACGGACAAGCCCAGGCTGGCACATCCAACATAGGTGGGGAACATAATGTTGTGTATCCACAACACATGTATTCCTCTCAGGCACAGCCATTCTATTACCAAGGTGAGTTAAACTTTGTGCTGCACATACAAAGTTATATCTTCTGGATGCATGGTTATTCCCTTGTTTTTGAAGGAAGTATATTTTTACACTAACATGTATAGTTCATAATCTGAGGGCAAAACTAATAAGAGATAATAATCGAAGCACTATCAAGATGCTATTTGGGAATATATGTACTGGAAGGATCTCTAAAGTTGTCATTTATTATGAAACTGCCTGTGACCTTTAAGGATTCATATGCATTCTGCAGTGAACAAATAATGAAATAATAAGAACTTAGGCTCAGTTTGATATTTTTATCATATATAGTGTTGGACTATATTACTATTTTTATTTTGGAGAGAGCATATTTGTTGTCATCATGATTTTAATGTCTTCTGAATTTTGGAACTTTTCTCTTGAGTTGGTGAATGATATTATTGGGTCTGTGGCATGGCATGAGCAGGTTCAGGATATGAGAATCCTCCAAATGAATGGGATGTATATCCTCCTTATGCGGAAGGATTGGAAGCGGGTCCAGCGGTAAGTTGATTTGCTTAGTTGTCAAGTATTTCTGTGATGTTTTCTTTTTCTCAGTTTGACTTTTTTTTGAAGGTTGTGTACAATGAGGACCCTTCAATGATGTACCATGGTGGCTATGGCTATGACCCTTATGCTCATTATTCTCCTATCTCGACGCCGGTACCGGCTGGTGTTAGTGGAGATGGTCAGCTCTACTCTCCTCAGCAGTTCTCCTTCTCGGCTCCTTACTACCAGCAACCAGTACAACCTGGCATGCCGTATTTAAGCTCTCCTACTCCAATATCACAGGGTGAGACAATGATGCCAATTGACCCAACACAAGGAGCTTTTATGGCTGACACTCTGAGCCCAAACAGCTTCCTTTTTGGACCAAGACCGGGTTATTATCTATCTCATGCTTTGTTTAAAATATGTTCATTTAAGCCCCATGCTTAGGTGCGATTATAACCATGTTCCTTGAAATGCTATTTTGCAGAATGGTTTAGATCGTCAGAAGGAACTGGTTCATTTCCATCACCTGCAGCTTCACCTCAACCATTTGGTGGTGTTTCAGGGCCGTTTGGACAAAGCAACTTTCCTATGGCTTCTGGGATGGTATTCTCTCTTGTCATATAAGAATAATAACAATTTAGATACTTCAACAATAATTTTTTTATCTGCATTTATTTGTAAGAAACATAGTCCCAAGAAAACTACTACTCCATCTGATGTGTCTCTTACTCTTATAACGCGACTTTTAAACCCCTAGTTCGCTCATTCATGCTTCTCACATTTACCATAAAACTCAAAAGTTCAAACTCCTACCTAAACATTTTCATTGAAGAGTTTGGATGCAATGACTTCTGGTATGCCATATAATGATGACAAAACGGCAAAAACATGACCAAATCCTGTAATAGATTAGCCTGACACTGTCTAGTTGCAATTTGGGCTGAAGCTCTGCTTCCAGATGCAATCAGCGCTTGCTGGATGTGTACACATGAGCTTATATTAGAATGATGACCTGTTCTTTCTTTGCTGATGTATATGATAATTTGACAACAACACTATTAGTGATTATAACAAGACAGGATCTAAATCGTTAGTACTTGGATCTAAACTTGGCTTTCCCCAATTTCAGATGTCCCCTCAGCAGAAGTCTTTCTTTGGTTTTGGAACCCCCGGTGACTCGTATGGAAGAGGCTTCTCTCATAGTGGTGGTTTCCCACAGGCCACTAACTACGGGGGTCCTTTCCCTGGCTATGGCATGAATGGCAGAAGTTTTATTCCAATTGATAAAGGGCGCAGGAGAGGAAGGGGTAATTCTTTGTTATGCAGCTGTGACGGTCCACTTGACTTCCTCAATGAGCAAAGCCGGGGTCCACGTGCCACCAGGCCTAAGAAGCAAGCAGAGGATGATAGTAAAGATGAGAAGCCTTCTGTTGGACTTAACCAGGAGCCATACAATAGGGCTGACTTCGTTACCGAGTACAAAAATGCTAGATTTTTTATCATAAAATCATACAGCGAAGATAATGTGCACAAGAGCATCAAATATGGTGTTTGGGCTAGCACCACAAATGGAAACAAGAAACTAGACGCAGCCTATCGTGAAGTGAAGGACAAGGAAGAACATTGTCCCATTTTTCTGTTGTTTTCGGTAATAAAAAACTTTATCCTGTTTCCCTGTCAGTGTTTTCAGGGGCTCTCTGTTTGTTACCTTGCATATGTTATTCCTCACTGAGAATTGGAAACTGGACCAGGTGAATGCTAGTGCACAGTTCTGCGGTGTTGCGGAGATGACCGGCCCAGTGAATTTCGAGAAGAGTGTGGACTACTGGCAGCAAGATAAGTGGACTGGCCAGTTCCCTGTTAAGTGGCACATAGTGAAGGATGTTCCAAATAATCTCTTCCGCCATATAATTCTTGAGAACAATGAGAACAAGCCTGTAACCAACAGCCGGGACACACAGGAGGTACAATGCTTTTGAATAGCATTTTCCTTTGTTACTTGGTTTGCACATTTGTTGTCTTATACTCCCTCCGTTCCAAAATATAAGTCTTTCTAGAGATTCCACCAAGCGACTACATACGGAGCAAAATGAGTGAACTTACGCTCTAAAATATGTCCACATACATCCGTATGTTGTATTCCATTTGAAATGTCTAAAAAGACTTATATTTAGGAACGGAGGGAGTAGTTACTCCTATTTATTTCATAATGATATCACTTGTCAAATTGGTAGGATATGGCATACATGGTTTATAGGAGCAACTGACAAGTGCTAACGTTGGTAATGCTCTGTTTCAACTAGTTGATGTTAAAAAATTGAGCTTATTGTAGGTGAAACTGGAACAAGGACTGGAGATGCTGAAAATCTTCAAGGACCATGAGGATAATGTGTCAATCCTTGATGACTTTGACTTTTACGAGGAACGTGAGAAGGCCCTGCTGGAGAATAAGGCGAGGCTGCATCAGCAACAACAGATTTCCAGCTCCAGTGTTTCTGAGCCCAAGAAGCCGTCGACAGTGCCCACTGACCTGGTGGGTCATATCACCAATAGTCCTAGCGTTGTTGAGCCGAAGAAGCCCTCGACCATACCCACTGACGTGGTGGGTCATATCACCAAGACCTTCGCACAGGCCGTGCGGCTTGGCGAGGCCAAGAGTGTGAGCCCTTCCGCCGATAAAGTCCCCGCTGGAGATTCATCTGCTGCTGCTAAGCCTGTTGAAGTGAAAGAGAGCAGTTGAAGTGCGATCTGGCCGTGGTTGAAATTCAAATCATGTGCTTCCTCACCAGAGAGCTGGGTGCATAAAGACATCTGGTGCCGCCAAAATATGAAGGCGCAGGTGAAGATGATGGATGATGGCGTCCTGCGCTTCTGGTGAAGCATGATGTACACTAGGAAGATACATAGGGCATGCCCTTTGCCAACCTTGGATGGAAGCTTAGTGGAGTAGTTTCTTACATAGTTCCTCTTGCTTTCATCTCTTCTGTACTTTTCTTTTTCTGTCCCAGTTTCCTTTTGCGTTTAATATATATGGGTATGTTTATTCCTCAGTGGGCAGTAGGTTAAGGTGGAGAGCTGCAGTTTTTGTGCAGGCCCTCTGTAAGTTCAATGTTGGGTCGCAGATGAATAAAGCTATTCTGTTTAATTTTCCTCTTTTCTTTGAGGTGTAATTTTCCTTTCTTGTGGTACTTATTGATGGCGCAGTTCTGAACAAGATACATCTATATGTGCATCATTGCATGTACTCCCTCCGTTCCAAAATAGATGACCCAACTTTCTATTAAAGTTAGTACAAAATTGAGTCATCTATTTTGGAACGGAGGGAGTAATAAGCAATACAAATGAAGTCCTACAGGGCAACTTTCTGTGTGTGTCCTATGGAATGGTTAATTCCAAAGTAGCAAAATAGTCCTCTTTTTGTACTGTACTTCCATAATCTTGCGAATTTCATATACGTAGTTTTTTTTTTGAAATATTGCCAGGTTATTCACTCATTTCTTGAAATATTGCCAACTTAATTACTCATTTCTGCTCAGATGGATAAACAACATTATCTCACCCGTAGGCTACCGGCTCCAAATCTCACCGAATCTTCCACCCACCCACCCACCTGCGCCAGCTCTAAAGGAGGAGGCGGCGGCGGCGGCGGCGGCGGCGGCGGGTGAGCTCGCGCATAACGGATCGATCCCAGCTCTAGAGGGGAGCAGCCATGGCGGGGGACGGCGACGAGGAGCGGCCGGCGATGGGCGGCGACAAGCTGATCCTGCGGGGGCTGCAGTTCCACGGCTTCCACGGCGTGAAGCATGAGGAGAAGAAGCTCGGGCAGAAGTTCGTGGTCGACGTGGACGCCTGGATGGACCTCGCCGCCGCCGGGGACTCCGACGACATCTCCCACACCGTCAGCTACACCGACATCTACAGGTGATATGCACTACTCCCCACCTCCATCCAGCTTCAGTTTTCTCGCTGCCGCAGTGCTGTCTTCAGCTTCAGTTTCCTGACACCAGAGTATGTAAAATGTTACCCTGCAGGATAGCCAAGGGCGTGGTGGAGGGCCCGTCGCGCAACCTCTTGGAGTCGGTGGCGCAGTCGATCGCCGGCACCACGCTGCTCGAGTTCCCCCAGATCTCCGGCGTCCGGGTGAAGGTCGGGAAGCCCCACGTCGCGGTGCAGGGCGTCGTGGACTACCTCGGGGTGGAGATACTGAGGAGTAGACAAGCATGAGCACAAGAACCGAACAGAATTAATCTCAGTTGAGCCGATCGATCTCCGTGTCTTATATTATCTATCTATGTATGAACATATGTTAATCGCGCTCACGAAACAAGAATCATGAACGGAATAATTTCTGAAATGGGGATCATGTTCTTGCCTGCATATAATAGTTTCTGAACATCTTTGTAGAAGAAATGGCCACAGGTCCTGCTCAGTTAGAGATCAAAGTACCAGCTTGGAGGAGAGAGCATCATGAACCGACCAGATCTCAACCCACAGAGTCCTCCTGGTCATGATGCTGCATCGCCTGCATGTGTTTATTGGATGGATCTATGTGGAGTACCAAAACCAGTGTGGATCTCAGTTTCCACTGACTCATTACGGCGAAAGGAGGGTCAGGCCCTTTCTCGATTTCGAAAGCTCAAGGTTAGTAAAGTAATCAACCACACACGTCGTGCAGGAACCTCCTAAGAGAAGCGTGCCAAGACATTGAGTTGTCAGAATCCACGACTTTCACTCGAAGCAAACAATCAGATATTGGAGTCGACCATGTTCATCGCTTGTCTCATAACTGAATCAAAGAGGAACACTTAAAGTAGCAATTATGGGTATTCTCGTCCTTCTCTACAATTCTTCATGCCGGGTGCAGCGCAATGGCAGCCGCTTCATGAGTTATGAGACAAGCTTGTCTCATAACTGAACCGAAGAGGAACACTTAACTCTCACATATATACCACTATGAAAAGGAAAGTAACAACAATGGGCTGCAGCATGAGTCGTCTAGCGACAATCTCGCTAGTTTTTCTCGTCCCGCTCTTCATGCCAGGTGCAGTGCAATGGCAGCCGCAATTGCTAGCTTCAACGCCACCCCGAGCCAGCACCTGCAACTACCGAAAGGATTTGTTTGAGTGTCGGAGAGCATTGCCTTCAACGGCCAAGGCCACGGCATGTCAACATTGACAAAATTACATGGACGACCTACGCATGGCTCTGGCTATGACAGTGAGACGTACACGTCGTCCAAACTCTGCCGGGAACTGATATGATGCCCATACCCTTGAAACTCTTGGCCCTTTCCACTGCCCATGTAGGATATTTATTTCTCTCCAACATCCCATACTTGATTAAGAATAAAAGAGATGGTTTGGCGACATGTTATTGAGCTATCGATCTTTAGCTAGCTAGCTTCACCATTTATACTGGGAATTTGCAGCTCGATCATACAATTATGGCCACATGGTCATGCATATATCATTTGGGCATCATTTTGTGATATTTTTTCCTTTCACCTAACTGGCAGAAGGGCCTTCTGTCTGACTTGAAGTAATAAGCATGTAAGAATGATGTGGGTGGCGCTTTCTAGGTTCGGGCTCCGCACGGACTATGATCTGTCAGAGCTCTGTCAAAACAGATCCCTACTTGTGCCTGCTGCGGTTGCCTTGGCCTGTTGGCCCTGGTGGTACTCCAGGTTCCAGTTCAGAGCAGATTAAAATAGAATATCACACTATATCCCAGAAAAGAAACTTGTTATAGCGTAGGGCACAAAACTTGGAAATTCATTTTTCATGAAGAAAATGTATAAGAGACATTGATTGCGTTTATGAAATATGACTGAAACATAGGAATATAATTGAAAATAGTTGGAACTTTGAAATAATTTAATGTTTCTAAAACTATTTCTAAAACAATGTAAGATGTGCTAAAATTCAACCATTTGAAAATTACACACTAGTGCAGCCGTCCTATGCAAATAGTTAAAACGTCCTTCCGCCAACATAATTTTCAATTGTCGCCTTGCAAAGGTGTGCGATAGGGAGGGTCTATCGCGCACGATACAGATTAATCATGTGTGATAGCTCCGCCCACTGGTGGCCCAGTCGATCGCCGGCACCATGCTGCTCGAGTTCCCCCAGATCTCCGCCGTCCGGGTGAAGGTCGGGAGCCCCACGTCACGGTGCAGGGCGTCGTCGACTACCTGGGGGTGGAGATACTGAGGTGAAGAGAAGCATGAGCATAAGAACTGAACAGAATTAATCTCAGTTGAGCTGATCGATCTCCGTGTCTTATATTATCTATGTATGAACATATGTTGATTGCGCTCATGAGATAAGAATCATGAACGGAATAATTTCTGAAATGGGGATCATGTCCTTGCCTGCATATGGTTTCTGAACATTTTTGTAGAAGAAAAGGCCACATGTCCCAGTAGAGAGCAAAAGTACCAGTTTGTGAGGAGAGAGCATCATAAACCGACCAGATCTCATCCAGAGAGGTCCTGGTCATGATGTTGCATCACCTGCATGTGTTTGGATGGATCAGCCTGCGGAGTACCAAAACCGGTGTGGATCTTAGTTTCCACTGACCCATTACGGCGAAAGCAGGGTCGGGTCCCTTCTTGATTTGTTGTCAGAATCCACAGACAATCAGACATTTTCCCCGCAAAAAAAAAAAATGACAATCAGACATTTGACTCGAGGACGTTCACCGCTTGTCTCATAACTAAATTGAAGACGAACACTTAACGCTCACGTATATACCACTATGAAAAGGAAAGTAACAACAATGGGCTGCAGCATGAGTCGTCTAGGGACGATCTCGCTAGTTATCATCATCCTGCTCTTCATGCCAGGTGCAGTGCAATGGCACCCTGCTCAGTAGAGAGCAAAAGTACCAGTTTGTGAGGTGTATACAGCACATGAGAGAGCATCATAAACCGACCAGATCTCAACCCACAGAGTCCTCCTGGTCGTGATGTTGCATGACCTGCATGTGTTTGGATGGATCTACATGGAGTACCAAAACCGGTGTGGATCTCAGTTTCCACGGACCCATTACGACGGAAGGAGGGTCAGGCCCCTTCTCGATTTCGTAAGCTCGAGGCTACTAAAGTGATCTCAGTTTCTACACACGTCGTGCAGGAACCTAAGAGAGAAGCATGCCAATAACATTGAGTTGTCAGAATCTACGACTTCCACTCGAAGCAAACAATTCAGTTTTCACCACGCTCACTGCTTGTCTCGTAACTGAATCGAAGAGGAACACTTGGAGCTCATGTTGTATCATGTATATATACACTTGTCTCACCACTATGAAGCAAACAATCAGACAATGGGCTGCTGCATGAGTCGTCTCGCGATGATCTCACTAGTTGTCCTCATCCTGCTCTTCATGCCAGGTGCAGTGCAATGGCAGCTGCCGTTGCCAGCTTCCACACCACCCCAAGCCAGCAACCGCCACTGCCGAAAGGATTTGTTTGAGTGTGGGAGAGCAATGCCTTTGACGGCCAAGGCCACGGCCATGTCTTCAGGTGGAACATTGACAAAATCGGTTGGGCGACCTAGGTATGGCCCTGGCTACGACAGTAAGACGTGGAGATCGTCCAAACTCTGCCTGGGAACTGATGGGATGCACATACCCTTAAAACTCTTGGCCCTTCCCACTGCCCCTGTAGGATATTTGTTTCACTCCAACATCTCATACTTGATTAAGAATAAAAGAAATGGTTTGACGGCATGTTACTGAGCT